GCATAGTACTTCAGTGTTTGAGTTGGACTGAATTCAGTGGGATTAGATAATAAAATCTAGTGTCTTGCTGAATCAGAAAAGAGGTTTTAATGCAAAGATAAATATTTAATGTCATATAATGAGACTCTTAATAAGCAGAAGAGAAAGGAAAGCTACTAACTGCAGAAATCAGATTGCAAACTGAGGAGCAGATTTTCAGGACTTGCCATGAGCTTTACTCACAATATCATTATTAAAACCGGTAATAATGTAAGAGCATTTAGGAATTATTTCAGCCTTTAGCATTGTGTGCATGTAACAGCATTTATCCTTTCAAACTAGCTATTTACAGTTCCATTTCAGCCCTTTTTTTCATTTGCCACTGACAGCAATCACAGCAGAATGAAAGATGAGCTACATTCACGGATTGTTGGGTGTATTCCAGCACCGGTAAAACAAATCATTAAGATCAAAGGATCAGCCATTTTAATAAACTGTGTGCACTGTTGTTATTGTGACTTATGGCTTTGTTCTGCAGAGAGGGAAGCTATAAAACAGCATAAAAGAGAAATAATTTTTTTTTACTGCATGGTTAAGTGTTAACCACATATATTATACATATATAAGTACACATAATATCTATATATTATATACATACCTGTATATTTATACACACGAGTAAAACTCTAGTTGTAAATACATATATATATATATATATATATGTGTGTGTGTGTAGGTGCTTACATGTGAGATTCACAGCACACTTGCAGCTATCATGTGAATAGTACTTGTTTATCTACAGATATTAGTTTTCACAGATGTTTTCAGTTTATAATAATGGAAAGAGACTTGTCAATGTGCACATACATGTGCTGAGGGCACATCTCAGTACTATTTGAGTACTGGTTCTTGCTTACACAAGGCAGCTGTGTTGTCCTGTGCAGCTCGCAGGTGCAGTCTCCCTGCTGTTATTCAGATAGTACATCCTCCTGCAGAGAATGGAAGCTCCTCCCTGCCCACATGCCTCTGTTTCCCTTTGATGAAAGCCAGGATATAATAAGGGGAAGAGAGAAGAGGTAGGTCAGGTCCTGACGAAGTCAGGATGTGGCCAGACTTTATGCTGGGACACAGGCAAAAGGAAATGTTCCCTGATTCCTCCGTCTAGCCTCTGGCTTACAAAGCAGGGGGGCAGTTTTGTGATACAAATGAAAAATATTTTGGGAATTGTTGCCATGGAAAACAGGACACATTCAAAATTAGTACTATTATAACTACCGGAGTTTCATGGCTTTATAAAATTCTGGTCCACAGGTCTGATATTTCAACTGATGAATAAGTTTGTCTTTTGTCATATCTGGGTATTCAACCAGCAAAGACACCTGCCATCTATCCTTTGAAAATAATATTCTCTTGAAGGGGTCTCCACCAGCCTCCAAAACAAAAGGGTGGCCAAAACCATTGTTCAGAGTTGGTGAAGGTTAGAAGTCCTACGCCAGCCATCATGCACAGAGAGCTAAGTATAACCTCATCTACCTTAACTACACTTGCTAACTCATTGTTCAAAACGTGTAGAGGGAATATATGCACATTTGGTAGCGATCAGCTTATTATTCAGGATCTAGGCTAGGCTAATATTGCTGGTTGTCAGAAACGACTGAGTTTGACTTCTGATCCAGAGAACTCAATACTGAAATTACTGAGGTAAAGAATAAATATGGAATGATACAGAAGCAGATCCTTTTAATATTAAACTCTTCAGTGCTCAATGATTTTTCATCATTTTCATCTGTTCATCTATGCTACAGAAAGGTAGAGCAGACTTGCTCAATTACAAGGTAAAATTATACTAGTGATATCATTCTTAATATAAATGAAAGCTTGTGAAAATGTTTAAATGGAAATATATATTTCTCACTTATTGCTTCATGATGTCATCTTTAAACATTCATGACTCATCTTAAAATAAATTATTCTCCATGGAGCTGTCTGCTTATTTTATCAAATACTTTCAATAATAAGTTTTTAATGTTTTCCCCTTTCCAGTATTTTTAACTACATTTTAGAGCCTAATTCCTTAAAACTAATGAATGTTTCTCCCTCCTTTATGATCCGTTGCTGCTGTTGCTTAGCCACTGATTATATCACATACAAATTTTATCTTCTCTCTTATGACAAATGTTGTTACAGCCTGAAACAATTCCACCATAAAGTATTAAGTCTTTTGTGCAGGTGAACAGCTCTTCCATTTCCCATATCATTATCAGATTGGCCTATTCCTACAGGACTGCAGCATTTCTACAATCTGGATAATAATCAAAGTCTGTTTCTCATTCTCTGAATATTGCTGATGAAATAATCAATCGTATTCTTTCATGCTTAACTACGCAGGATGGCACTATTCATTTAACTGTTTCACGAATCTCTGAACCATACAGATAGATGGGCTTTTGGATGAGCAGGGATTATTCCACTGTATCAAGGGATGCGAGGCAGCACTTAATTTGGAGCATTAATTACGTAGGGATACATTATGTTAGGCTGATATGTATAGAAACCTAGAATATGAGAAGATTTGACTTGATCACCAGAACTAACTAGAGTATATAAAAGAAAATTTTGGATTTTGACTGTAGTCTCTCTCTATATTACTTGTGAATCCAATTTCTCCTAAATTAAAAATAAATTGGAATGTTTATAATTACAGAAGCATTTTAAGTAATAGCTATAGGCTTTTTTTTTTTTCAATATAAAAAAGCAGTCTTTAGATATATGTGTAGTAAAAGTACTTAGCATTCAACAGCTGTGCTCTTGGAATGCAAAAAAAGCATTGCAAACAACAGATTTTACCTTATTCCAACTATTCTTTCATTTGATGTAAATACATTAATCTTGAGATCCATTTTCCTTTGTTTGGACTGAAATCAGCCAGTTCTGCTTATTTGAGATAATTGATGGGTACAAACTATGAAACTCCAGGTAAGTGCACTGCCGTCTTTGTGGTCTCATATTTTAATCTTACTGCCCCTGTGCAAATGATGACACTCTGGCTCTAAATAACTCTTCGGTTCAGCAGGCCCCTCTGTTTTCAATTCTGTCCAATCTTAACCTGGAAGCAGAAATCTTACTCCAGTATTTGTAGCACAAGTGAGCTCACTGGAGCAGTTATGGATCTGTGCCATATTTCGGATTCTTACTGAATTTGAAACTCTTTTTTTTGAAAAAAAAGTATATATAGAAGATTTGCTTTATAGGTTGTATATGCTTATACATCTCATGGTTGCAACTGAACAGAATAACAACTCCTGCATAGAACCTGTAGTTTATTTTGCATGAAGGTTTGCTCCTCCTAATTTCTTTACTTCTTTAGAGAAATTATAAATTTTAATTTCCAGTTTGCTGGATTCCAAACGTGAAAGTATAAAGAAAAGGTCGTCACTTGACATTTTGATCAGAAAGCATTGACCATATCGAATCAACTTGCCCATGGGAATATATAGTGTCACAACTTGAGAGCATGTACAGGTCAAACACGTGCCAGAAATGTGACATTTCTCTGGGAAAAGAAACTCTGGCTTTTGTTCAGCCCTAGTCCGGAGCTCATACAACCTTAGTTGTGCTGATTAGCATCAATAGGCATTTTCTGCAGCACAATAGAACTGAATTATGCTGATGATTTAATTTAAAAAATGACTGGCCATTATTTTTTGTACTGATTGGAATATGCTGTACTGCGAGAAGAATCCCGATTTGGGATTAGTATCTCCATACAAGAGGGACTGTACCACTTAACTATTTCATTTTCTTAAAAAAAATATGCCTTAAGTAATAAAATAAAAAAATCTGTGTGCATAAACCAGCCTTTTTTATTCCTTTCTGTATTTTGAATTATATTAATAATCTGAATTATTGATAGTAATTGTTAAATTACTGGATAATCACTGAGGAATTGTCAGCTCACTTAGAATAAAATATTTATTTTCTCAAACTCATGGCTGAGTTCAACCATCAAATTCTTACAGAAAATGTATCAGTGTAGTATTTGCCTTGGTCTTCTTTGAGAAAACATTTCATTACCACGCAAATGGGAGTGGCTCTGAGGAGGCTAATTGGTGTATGTGACATGTAACATGCAAACCACAGTATTAAGTCACTCCACAATTTATACAGAAAGTATAATTCAACTCTGACTGGAAATGCCATTGTTTTTTTGAGATCTAGTATTTACATGTGGCAAAGAGGTGGGTGGATGTCTATTACATGTGCAAAGATTAGAAAAAATAATTGTGTAAGATACTATTCCTCACCAATGAAGAAAGAACATTTAAAGGAAATGCACTTGGTAATTAGATTAATAATGGGCAATTAATTTGATAGAAGCAGGCAGCCTATTTGAAAGCAACAGAAGTACATAATGTAATCAAAGCATATTTGGCCCAATTACTTGCATTTGTTTATGTATTTAAAAGCATGTTGTGTGCACACATTATCACTATCTTTTAATTTTTATTTTAGAAGAGACTCTAATATTCAACAGACCAGAAGAACACTGAAAAAGACCACACATTTGCTTCTAAGAATAGTCATGGTCACTAAGCAGTTTAAACAACTACAAATTCAGTTTCAAACACAACATCTTGGGATCCCTTTCTGTAGGATGGGACAGAACCAGACTCCCAAGCATATCAGAAAGGATGCTATCAGCATCTGCAAAACAGGCCTCAAGTTTAACGCACACGAAAAATCCACTCAAACATGCAGTTTTGGCATGTGAATACAAACCTGAAACTAAACATGCATGTCAGCCAAATGGCCAAGAACAGGACCTTTCATTACCATGAAGCTAGTCTAAAACCACTGTCACTCTCAAAAGCATGTTAAGGTAGACTAATCTTTCTGGTGTGCAGTCATTTCTCTTAAGTGACTAAACACGGAGCTACTGCAGCTGGCAGCAGGCAGTCATTGATTTCACACTGTGAAAATACTTTCTAAAGACAACTCTGTTATCAAATGTGGTTATTTACCTGTCATAGTCCTGGCAAATCTCCCCAACAGCTACCAATGCTTTCAAGTATTCATTGGGTTGATAGGGGTGGATGTAGTGCAGTGAGCAGCTGTTCCTAGGATCACCATTTGATGCAGTGAAATCTATAGCTACCTAGAAAAGAAGAAAAGTCAGTGTGTTGTGGAGCTCTTCTGAGCATAAGTATACACACAGCAAACATAGATCTTTATCAGAAACAGTTTTCTGTAGAGAATTCAGCCTTAAATCAAAGGTAATTTTACAACGTACTTCATCAAATTTGAATTAGGATAGTATTGATAAATATGTCTAAAAGTAAATGGTAGCTTATAAAATAAGAGATAATAAAACTAAAATGACATACTTAGGAAAAAAAAAATGAACTTACAATGAATCCATTATAATTCTATGTGGAAAATTATGTTCTAATACAAATGAATGAAAGTAACTATCTCTAGGTTCTCATACTTAATTAAATTTTTCCAGCTCAGGTGATGTTCAGGAAATAAAAGCTTTGCAGCAAAAATGTTCTGAGAGAGTTAAAAGCCCTACTAAAACTATAAATTTAAACTCCAGTTAGGCATATTTCTTAGATATTTGAAACCTTACTGTGGCTGTAGTAATAATAGCAGATACTGCCTCTCTGGTATTTTAATCTAAGCATTAAATAATTAACTCTCCCAATTTCATAAATGATAGCAAGCTTAAAGGTGAGCTGCAGGGTAAAAATAAAGCTTGAATCCTGCACAGATTTTTGTGTTGAAAAAGCTTAAAGAAGATTGTGAGAAGCATTCAATGCAAAAGCAAATATTAATGAATCCTCTTAAAATTAATTTCTCCCTTTTAAAATGCTCTTTGTACTTCTCACTGAAGATATACTCTGGCATGCGTCTTCCTGTGACATGACTGTTGTGGACCAGAAAGCCCTCTTCTGGATTTGTGATGCTGCTTTCTAGGAATTCCTAACTGGATTTTTTTCCAGAGGGTCTCATAGGGAAAAAAGCCATTTACAAACATCCTTATGATTTTGTCCAATGACCTCTTCCTCCAAAAAACCCGTTATATGTGGATATTCGATAGACAAATCAGTTTTCAGTTTTACAGTGCAGTTGACAGGTAAGAGCCTTGCTGAAAGCTGCAAAAAGAACTTTGAAGTCCCAGCTTGCCTCTGCAAATCTGCAGCTTCCCCAGCTGGAACCTCTGCTTGGTACAGGGAAGACTTTTTATGCAGCTATAAAATGAAACGTGACATTTTCATTCTCCCTTAAAAAATTGAGACAGTCCTCCTGAAACTTATTTTTTTTGTTGCTAAAAACTAAAAGGGAGAAATCATACTGGGTCAACCCAACATGGCTTTTCTCCACCATTTCTGATTTTCCACCTCTATCTCTTTGCTGAAGAAAAATATTTTTTACTGGGCTCTAGTTAGCTTGGAAATCCCTTTGTCACCTTGATCAACTATGAACCCCTGGCATGTCAACCGCTTTTCAGTCAGGAGATATGAGCTTAGTTTGGCTTGCAGATAAGGTAATCTTTCACCTTTGCTTCCCTAATCACTGTTCATGCACTGATGTAGTGAGTCTGTTTTCCACATAGATTTTTTTCTGAAAATGATAGCATGATTTAACTTCTGTAAATCAATGTGAAACCTCTCATGTTCTCACTTGCATGAATGTATGTAACTGAGGAAGAAAGAAACACTAGTGGTTTGTGAAACCTAAGGTCAATCCATAGATACTTGTATGGATTAGTTTAATTTTGGAACACTTAATTCTAAAAAAATCTTAGCCAAGGTGTGCATATTTTCTTAATTTTTAAAAAAAAAAAAAAAAAAAAAAAAAAAAAAAAGTATATGTTCTTTGATATTAATTTAACCTTAGTTTTTTGTTCTGATTATAGAAAGTGCAAAAATGTCACTGTATGATAGAGAAACAAAGGACATTCCTATAAAATTGTTAAAAGTAGGCATTTTTACTGGTAATCTCAAAACAGACATTAAGAAGACTCAAGTGATGTATCAGAGAGAACTGGATAAGCTTTCCTTCATGGCTGTTAGCCATGGCTAAATCTTTTTATCTGAAAACAAGAGCACAGTGTAGGAATAAGCAGTGGGTTTCATGAGCTCAGGAAAAAGTCTGTGGCTAGTGTTTGGGAAAGGAAAAAACCCTCCCCTGAAAATCTTCCTTTTGAAAATGGTCCTTGTAGTAGAGATCTTCTGATAAGCAAAAAATATCCTAATTTCCTATGATCAAGCCTTTATGAATATTTGTACTTGGATGTAGCGTGCTTGACTTTGATCCAAATATCTGTTTGACTCCCAAGGGGAGGACTTTTAAGAAGGATGAGCGCTGTTACTTGCCACGATTCCAAAATAATAACACAGAGCTCTGCTCTTTTAGTATTACCCAGCAAAACCAAGGTCTTTGCAAATACATAGGATAAGGATTTGTAAAACTAAGTTAACATATCACAGAAGTTAGGCTAATATCACAACTGAGATAATCTTGTGGGAAACAAAGTATGAATCTTTCTTATGGTGTGTACATTTGATTTTTGTTAGTGTATCTTTAAATGTATCAGTTCCAATATAGCAGTCATCTTTCCGCAGCTAAATAAGAGCATAACACAGCAATAACTACACTGTTACTACTTTTTTTTTTTTTTTTTTTGGCCTTAGGTTTGTAAAAGGGTGATTTTCAATGCACTGAAAACATCCTACATAGCTTCAACCTCTTGCTAGATCTGTCAGCAATGAATTGGCCTGCCCAATACCATGACCTGCTTGAGAGAGAATCTGTCCAATATATCTTTCTATTACAGTTACTTTTACGCATGTTACACATCCTTTCTGCCGTATTTCCTGAAGTGATGAAAATGTCTTCTGACTACCCATTTGCACTGCCAACTTCTGAACATTTCTTCTGCGGCAGGGAACAGTCTGATAAAAGATACACCATTTTGCAATAAGCAGTGCATAAAAATAGTGGACTGGAATCAGCACTATTGATCTCTATAGATGAAAGCTTCTAAATAAATGACTTTAAGTGAAGGGAAAGTTTACTCTCATTTTTCAGAGACATTCTTTCTAACTATAAACTATGTCCCTACAATAGACATACAAAGTATCCCAAGAACACACAGCATGAAGTCACCAAAGCCTTCATTAGTGCCTTAAATTAGCAGGTACATCATACTACAGCTTTTTGTTATCAAATATATGCTTAGCATACCAGTTTCCCTCCCTCAGCAAGTCACCGTGCTGTTGTACTGCCTGTACACAGCATGAACTCAATAGAAATGTCATTAATACTAAGACAACAACAACAATACATGTACCAGGAGAGTTTCAAACAATTCCAGATCCATTCCAGTTAAATGTAGATCTGGGAAGGTGGAAGGAGTAGGGCTCCTCTATGTCAGCAGTCTGAATTAACGAGATTAGGATTATGTGAAAAAGAGATTATATATGTGCAGAAAGAAAGGGAGCACTGAATATCTACTCTGTAGGCTGCACCCTTTTGCTTCAGTGCCCACTGGGGAATCTCTGATATGTTTCTGGAAACAGCAACACATCTCACAACCAGTCTGTGCCCTCATCACCAGGGACTGATGCAACTGAGGCAGAAGGAAGTGAAATACGCGGAGAGTCAGGTTGTGATGATCTTTCAGTAGAACCACTAGGTCATGCATGAAGAGAGCTATAGGCACAGAGACATCCACAACGTCTTCCCCTTAGTCCACATAGGTTGAAAACTGATAGTGATGAGTTTACACAATACTGTAGCTGGTGGATTTATCACTGAGGTCAGCTGTAATTCAGGGATTTCTGCAGTTCACAACATAATGGATCTTTCCTCTCCTTTAGGTCCTCACTGCCTGTCCTTGCAGATGAGTTTACCTAAGTTTCCTATTTTCAATGGGTTTGTTTCATTTCAGCGAATAAATAATTACTATTTCAGTAAAATAGTAAAATATAGTAGAAGCAATGCTATCCATTTTAACACATTTTAACATAGCAGTTTTCAGCTTGTGGTTCACAGCCTCCTAATAGGAAATCTGCAACAAGTAAATGAAAGGCAAGTAAATTGCCATGACCCTTCAGTGTTGTGTAAGGACTCGCTTTTCCATTGGAAAACATTTAGGAGGAATCAAAAAGAGTTTGAAAAACTGTAACATAATAATATGTATATCCCTAGCCACTTTCTAATGGTTACAGCGTTTCTGAACTTGAGCTAGAGATGTGCAAAATGCATATTAACCAGTCTTTGCATTGCTTAAGCACCTGCCCTGATTAGAAAAGGCTTTTAAATATTACTTAAAGACATTACTGTCTTTCTGTTAATGACCTTGAACACATTTGATAGTTGAGTTTTTCCAGTGATATTTTTAGGGAGAAAATGTCAAGAAAAATAAATTAAAGGGGTTTCCAGGGATTGGTGAGTTTCAGATTTGGAGGAGAAATGGGCATTTCTGGCATGTGGGCATAACAGAAGCTGGATAAAGCAGAAAAGTGATTACACAGGATGCTTTGCTTGAGAGAAGAAAACAATAATAAAGATATTTGTCCACTACAGTAGGTACTTCCTTCAAAACCAGAAACAGGTCCTCAGTTCTGGGTGTTATCCAATGAGTTTGCCATGTGTATTAGCAAAGTGCATGCTTTACACCTGAAAAAGCTGATTCATAAACAAGAACACAATCCCCTACTGTCTGTAGCTGCTGCTGTTGCTGGAACTTTCTATTGGGACAAAAAAAAAATCTTCCTTTTTTTTGTTAAATCTTTTCGGAAAATTAAGGCTTGTCTGGAAAAAGTGAAATGGAACTTTTCAGTAACATCCAGTGTATGATACTTGACAGTTGGGGGTAGAAACAGGTCACAAACAGGAAAAGAGAAGATCTTCAGAAGAAGAATATTACCTTGAAGCATTAGATTTTACTCCTGTAAGTGGCATGAAATTAGAAGTCACATAAACCAGACCAGAACTGAGCCAGAATCTGTATTCCTATGCTATAGGAAATGTAGATTCAAAATATCAAAAAAAGAAATCATAACCACACAGCATTAAATGTTTCTAAAAATGATTATTTGGAAGTGCAAAATATTATATTTCTGTTTATGGAGAGCTCTGCAAATCAAGTTATGCCCTGTTCCTTGAAATGAATAACTTCTGAATTCACTCTCAATTACAACCGTGTTGCCCTGTAGTGCTGCCATCTTACTGTTTGTAGTTATGGCTGAGGTATGAAACATCAGCATTTACCCTAACATCTGCACTAGACTGACAGAGGGTGGTCCTTGGCTGGATTATCTCTCTGCCTGTGACCATTGTAGCACCATTAGAGGGGAAACAACTTGCTTTAATGGAGGACTCATTCTGGAAAGGAAGACTGGCCCATAGGGTTGATGAACAGGACATCTAACATTTAAGTAGCTATAGGCAGGTGAAATGACATCCCCTCCTTTGACAGAGTCCTAGCAAGGGAATTTGAAATTCTTGTGAACAAACTGAGACTCAAAAGCCAAAGGCCAGTCAGCACTGTCACAGTGCTCCAGCTTTTGGGATTGGGTGTGGCTCAGATGGAATTGGTGGGGCTACACCAGTTTAGCTTCTCACCCCTGTATGAAGTTCTTTTGCAATGTGATTGTCACTGCTGCAAAACATGAAAGTAAATCAGCATGTGCAAGAATAATCTTATTACATTAGCAGTTTTATTTTCTGGGCTTAATACATTTTGTAAGAAGACCTTAATAATTTACCAAGGAACGGCATGTAAAAATCATTCCTCTGTGAAAGTAATGAATCAGTATCTAAGGGGATTCCCTTTCTTTAAAACAACTTAGAGAAATAAGGCACTTACTGTAAACTGTATTTGGCAGCCTCCCATGATATAATCTAAGAAGGAATGCATCTTGTGGATCTGCAAACAAAAAAGCAAGACATTCAAATTATCTGTGTACTGCTAAAACATCAGAGGAAAGCCTGAGAAAAAGTAATTTGGAAAGAAGAAAGCAACTAGCTGAAAATAAGGTAAAGAAAGAAAGAATTAAATATAGTTTGAGATAGAAACAAATTTATAAACAGAGAAAATACCAAAATTCTAAAACTACCGAAAGGAAAATTCACATCAAAAGAAGAACCAAGCTCTGCTCCTTCTCAGTGGTAAGTCAGTGGAAATTTTGCTATTGGTTTAGGAGGAACAAGAGCAATTTTGTAGAAATGATGGAAGAATTAGAAGGGAAACACAAAAGGCCAGCTGGCAAGCCGGTAGGTGTAATAGTTTAGTACCGCCACCTCCATTGTACAACAGCAGGAATAGGGCAAGAGAAATGAGAGTGAGTTAGGGACAGTCAGCTTATTTTGGGATTCAAGTCCTTGTCTTTGCTTTTTGTAGTGGATCAGTTTCCATTGCTATTGGACAGGCAGTTCCACTTTGCTGTCTCTGTTTCCAAACACCATTAAAATATATCACTGAGAGCTTAGTGAAGAAGCAGCCAAAGAGCAAAACACATATTTACCTTGCACTGGTTAAGGATGACAATGCCTGAGTTCTTGTAATTCTTCTTCTTTGCTTTGTACTTGGGGTTAATGCATTCCCATTGTACCTGTGAAAAATAGCACTCACTGCTTGAAGGAAAATTTATGTACAAATTGAATTCGCAAAAATGGCACAATCTGATTTCCACAATTGACTAAATTCTATCAAACAATGGTGCACGCAGAAGAAAAAATGAAAACCATTAACTATGCAGAGGAGGATCTTAATAGAAAAAGGCCCAGGGCAAACATCTGTCTTTAAACATATATGTGTGAACACAGAACTAAAGAAGATATCCAGATCGGTGTGTTGTCATCTTCCAATCTTGTAGTTTCAGGTGTTACATAAGCAAGATTGAGGATCTTTTGAGAAGGGTAAAAAAGAGGGAAGTTAATACAAGTGAAAATACTGGAGGGAGCAACCTGATGCCTTTTATTACCTACAAAACTGCCTACACAGTAACACTGGTGTATTGTATTAAACTCATGACTGGAGAAATTCTGATCAAGGATCATGTCGCTCTCTCTTGAAAGAGAACTATAGTTTCTCCTTTAAGTCTGACAGTAAAATAAAAAGTTTTTAAAAAAATCACTAAAAAGTGCACAAAGATGCAGTTAATTAATACTGATATATTTGAAAATTATCCGTAAGAATATATTACAAACTTTTTTTAAAAAAATGTTCTGATTAGTTTTATTTACAAATAGTCCATTTTACAGCAAAAGAATCCTACCTTGTTACTGAAATACATTGTCTTGTTCCCATCATAACATCTCCCAGAGTCTGTCTTACTTCCATTTCAAATGTTTCACCTTCCCCTGATTTCAGGCAGATTGATAAGGTCAAGCTTTTAGACCCTGACCCCTAATGTCTACAATATTGTTCATGGTTATTACTGCAGCAATAAAATATATGTTTGTATGTGCAAGTACCAATTGGCATTTGTAAATCCAGATTTGTATCTTTCAGAGAGGTGTTTTCAAGTGCTGGGAGAAAACATGTGATGTTGGGTAAATCATAAATAATATATCTCCAAAGGGAACCAGGATAACCTATTATCTAAAAATCCCTATTATGACATTTTGAAATGAAACATGCCTGTCTTAAGTGTTACAATATTTTGCCTATAGTGAAGACCTTCATAAGTGTTACATAAGTGTCTGTAGTAAAGACGTTCATATGTTCTGTCCGAGCAGTGTTTGAGCACATAAAACTATTTTAACTTATGAGCAGCCCAGTGATTTCATCGAGCTTCAAACCACTGCCTAACAGCAATTATTTGGCTGTCTCTGAAGTATTTCGAACTTAGAGCTTCTGTCAAATGTCAAAAAAGGAAGCCAAAGCATATGGCTTTGGAGCAATATGAGACCTTTTCTGCACAGGGGACGAGGAGTATTTTCATCACTGTATTACTGGAGACAGATGACAGAGTGAAGAATGGGAAAAGACAAAAAAATGTTCCAACTGCAGGAAGCACATCTGCTTGCTCTCCCAGTTAAGCCTACAGCTCAATTATTTGTCTTGTGAAATGAATTTTCCAACTGAAAAGACAGGCAGACACAGGCCCACATGTTCAGGGGAAATCCTCTATAAATATTTGTTCTCCACTCAAGAGAAGCAGTCGGGCCTAAGAAATAAAAGCCTTTCTCTCCAAGTAAAGAGAGCGCTCTGTGACACAATGCTAGAGTGCAATAAGCTCATATTTGGGAACAAAATCTGACAGCAAGGCAAAAGCACTGCCCACTCACATCTTAATAAATTACTGTCTGGCAAAATGGTTTAGTGTACAATTGTCTCCAAACTTACTGGGAGCATTTCTACAGAGAAAATGTGCTGTATATATATTATGAAGAAACTGATATATATCAAATAGAGAGAAAAAATAGGAGCTGGGATTTCTATTCCTTCCTTTGACACTGAACTACACTGGAGAGACCTCATTGCTTTCCCCTAAATGTCCAAGGTGCACTTTCTTAATTTTACCATCTTCAAACATGAACACTTTTCAATGTGCATGTTTAAACAAGGCCTGACATATATGAACCCTTACACTATGCACATAATTCCTCTCCTCAGAAAAAGTATTCTTTAAGACTGATCAACATTATGTTCATGTAATCGGTTTCTGGAAGAAGATTACACTATATAAGGACCAAAGCGGCATAAAAGACTACTTCAGGGGAGAAAAATCTGTGACTGTGGCCAGCCTCTCAGCTTTTCTGTACTAACTCTAAAATGCAACTAGGAATGTTCACCTACCTTTGCAATGCATTTTGAGATGTACAGATAACAATTGTCAGCAACTATCTAAAGCTCATTGAAATATTCCATGTGCAAGTGACTAACGTCCTTGGCTCATGTGGATAATAAAGCAAAGGAAAGAACAGACTATAAGAAAGAAAGAGAGAAAGAAAGAAAGAGAGAAAGAGAGAAAGAGAGAGAAAGAGAGAGAGAGAGAAAGAGAGAGAGAGAAAGAAAGATAGAAAGAGAGAAAGAGAGAGAGAAAGAGAGAAAGAGAGAAAGAGAGAAAGAGAGAAAGAGAGAAAGAGAGAGAGAAAAGAAAGAAAGAAAGAAAGAAAGAAAGAAAGAAAGAAAGAAAGAAAGAAAGAAAGAAAGAAAGAAAGAAAGAAAGAAAGAAAGAAAGAAGATAGCATAAAGAAGGGAAGAGAATAGGAGAGGAGGAAGACATTTCCCAATTCATAGGCTTAAAAAAAAAAGACTGTTTTACAAAAAACTCTTAATCTCTGCTTACCCACCAGTATCCACCTTGGCAATTCTCACAGTTTGAGTTGAAGATGTGACAAGTATCATTTTGAAGGAAATTCCCTATAAAGGCCTTGTCATATCTCCATCTCTTCTAAAGGGAACAGAGTTCAGAATACAGCTCTAAGCAGATAAGTAATAATGAGAAACAATTTTCAAATAATTTGTTCATGCTTTGAGGCCAACCTCACTTTTCAGTCTGTTCCTACGTTTCCAGTATTGACTTAGTATCTATTTTTTATTGATTAATATTTGTCTCTTAAATTAACATTTCAGTTGAGCAGAAAATAATGCAAGAGTCTGCAACCTGACACTAATGGTAAACATTGTGAAGTCTGAATTCATTCTCAAAGTCACTTAACATTTCTTCCAAATGCCTGGTAGCTCAGGGCTATACAAGCTCTTTCCTTGTCAAACAACAGAGTGAATCTGAAGCAGAAAGCAACCTGTTTTTCATAGAATCATAGAATGGTTTGGGTTGGAAGGGACCTTAAAGATCATCTTGTTCCACCCCCCCTGCCAGACCAGGTTGCTCAAAGCCCCGTCCAACCTGGCCTTGAACACTGCCAGGGAGGGGATAGCCACAGCTTCTCTGGGAAACCTGTGCCAGGGTCTCACCACCCTTCATGGTAAAGAATTTCTTCCTTTAATCTAAATCTACCATTTTTTAGTTTAAAACCGTTACCCCTCATCCTATCTCTTCACTCACTGATAGAGTCCATCCCCATCTTACCTGTAGCCCTGGAAGGCCACTATAAGGTCTCCCCAGAGCCTTCTCTTCCCCAGGCTGAACAACCCCAACTCTTTCAGCCTGTCCTCGTAAGGTGCTCCAGACACTATGTATGTGATATAGTTTAAACCATATTTTGTTAATTGAATATAAGTACTGTTGCAAATATTGGTAATGAACATAGCAGACTATACTGCTTCGGTGTTTCTTTTATACCCTGAAATTTAAACTACTGTGTGGAGAATTTCTGAATGTATAACATCTTCAATGAAAGTCAGCAAACTACTGCTGACACTTGGAAGGTCATAATCCTCTCATAATAAGGAGACACAGATCCTTCAATGAGAGATATTACTCTCTGCAGTGACGGATGCTGCCTTCCCAAACATCCTTACCCCTTTTCTTACCAAACCTTCAGAAGAGAAGAGCAAAGGATGCAACCACCCATGCCACACATCAGCAAGGGGAAATGGAGGTGACTAAATGCAGGCAACTATTGTAGAACCAAAATTTGGATGGTATGTGGCTACCAATAGCACAAGCTATTCAGAGAAAGAAAAGAAGGTGTCAGGAGACTTTCATGTACCCTAAGGCAAGAGAAATCATGGTACAGAGCAATTGCTTTCTTTGGGACACTGATTGCATGTCAGGACATCAGGTAATCCTGTGAGGAAAGGGCTAGAGAGCTATGGCTTATCATTAGCATGTTCTCTTGCCTCCCTGCAGTTATTTTGTTTCTCTCTTGTTTCTTCATGTACAGCTGCTGCAACAAATTGCATAGTTTGTAAATGACAAAGGAGGTATCATGGTCTAATGGACAGGTCAAAAAATGCAATCGGTCAGGCAGCATTATATCCTGCATGATCTCTTTCTGATGCCTCAAGAAAAGCTAGTCACTTTTAAGCGAATTTCATCTCCTCCTACTTAAAAGGTAGGTTTATTCCTGCTGTCCCTTTAGGCCAGAGGACAGGATGCGGTTTGTTTTTCATCCTGTTCCTGAAAGACATCCACCGTGGAAGAAGAGCTGCTTTTTAATCACTATCAGAGGTTTCCTCTGGAAACTTGCACCTGGAGAATGAAGTGAAAATCAAAGCATTTCTTGTTCCCTCAGTCAAGGCCCCCCAGCCTCACCCACACTCCTGAGGTTGCACCACTGGCTGCCGAACCACATGGATGTGGTAGGTGCTCGATATGGCTGCACCCTGCTCTGAAGCCTCTGTTGCCCTCTCTGGGATCAGCAGCAACTGCTGATGTTGCAGACAGTTCTGGATGAACTTGATTCTCTCCTGATAAAGCTAGAAATGGAATTACCTGTTGCTGTCAACAAACTCCTTGACCTGTTACCAAAGGCTTAAAGGTCTCCTGCATGCACAGTTATTTGAAAAGCTACTTGATGCAAAGGCCCTGAGTGAGTGTCATAGTCAGATACCTGGGCAAATGGGGGAACTGTGTTGGGTTTGTGTGTGGTGGGTTTTGGTAGCAGGGGAGGGCACTACAGAGGTGGCTCCTGTGAGAAGTTTCTCGAAGCTCCCCCAGCTCCAAGTCAGACCCGCCTCTGGTGAAGGCTGAGCCAA